ATGGGCTAGATGGATCATTGGTCTGACCCAGTATGGCACTTCTTGTGTTCTTATATAATTTAGACTGCTTCTGAACAGTTTAGGTTATTCATGTGATACAAAACAGAATTCACCAACCCTTAAATAAAAGCCCTTTTCTAAGCTCTAAATTGTTTAGTTATCTGTAATACATAAGGCAAGACCCATTGCTTATCTGTGATTTGCCTACAGCAGTGATTCTCAGCCCTGGTGCTGGTAACCTGAGGTACTGCATACACCCAGAAAGACTGAGATAATAAACAGATCAGCTATGCAGCCATCCCAGGAAGACAGCCTAATCTACAGTCTGTGCAATTAGTATAAAAAGAAATGCAACAACTCTGGTAGGTTTGGGCATAGGATTTGAAATGTATATTCACTTATATGAATGCTTAAATATTCACAGAGATATCAAGTGAATGAGGATGTTCACCTAAGAGATGGGAAACCTAGGTCCAGTCCCTGTCTTAGTGAATGACCACGCAGTAATACAAGTGGAACAGTGTCGACCGAAGAGACTGAGATAACCCCAAAATTTATCAAGTAGATAAGAAGGCAGGGCAGGTTGGCACTTTAAAAACCAACTCATTCAGAAAGGTAGATAAAGTAACTGAATCTGTCTCCTCCATACGGTAGCCAACAGTCTTAACTCCTGGGCTATTGAGTAAAAGGGAGACAATGACATGGACATTTGTCTTCCTCCTCTGGGAATCCACTCCTTCATTTTTATTTATTTTGCTGTTCTTACAAGTGCCCAAAATGAAACATTTTGTTGCAGTTCAAATGGGGCATTTCACATCAAACACAATGATTTTGGGGGGGTCAAGCTAGAAAGATCTATTATCCCCATATCTTTAAATAAGAACCTTTATTTTCTCAGATCGTCTATCAGCACCAGTAACTGGCAGGACCTTGAAAAGGAATTCTCTGTCTTAAAGCTATTACCTCCCACTTCTGTTTGCTCTTTTTCTCCTGTGAACTATTATACCAATGGACTGTAGACTCAGACAAAACAGTTTTCAGTTTCAATTTCTCTTTTAAACCTGTCTTACCCATTACTACAAAACATTATTTAGAAATTTTGGAAACAATAAGAAAAAAAATTACACAGCTCCTATACTAAATTAATTAGTGGAGGCTCAGCTTTGGCAGTTTTTCTCTATCCCCAGTTTCCATGCACATACACTTCATTCTGGTACCAAACTACCATTATTTTGGAAAAGTAGAGATATTTAAATTGAGATCCAATTAACTGGTCTCAGGTCACAAAAGAAAGTAATCTCCGCACCTTAACATAATGTATGTATAAGATCTCTTTTAGTTCTGGTCTTCTGTGATACCTTAGATTATCAAAATCAATATACCACACTGTTGCCTGCTCCAGCTCTAGAAGAGATTATAAATGCCTTTCCATAATTTGTAATTTTGTTCATTCAGAAGTAAAATTATATCCAAAGAAACACCTATAGAAGTTTTTATAAAACTATCTATTTTTTATACTTTTTCAGTCACATGTAATGATTTTACTGAGAAAAACTATTTATTTTATTTATGTCTTCCTATCAGTGCTGGGAGGCCAATCAATATACGTACAGGTGGTCCAGCATTGTTCTATTTTGCCTCATATATGTTGACAGACTAAGTTGCCCTCTAAGTTCTGAACTGAAAATATTTCTACTGTAAACTTACAATGATATGAGAAACAGAAATGCTTGGACAGGACAGACACATAGTTGCAGGGAAGAAATCTATTGCAGTGTTGAACTTAAATACTATGAGAATGAAGGGTAAGTTATGATGGGCTCAGTTTAAGGCAGGATAGCTGAGCCTCTACATTTTTGCCTTATATCTAAAGGTCTTAGAGAATAAACATTGCAACAAATGAACTAGACCTAGGTTTTGTTCTTTTGTTTTGTTTTTTGGTTTTTTATTCTGCTAATTTGCTTGCCCTATGGTCAAATATTTTTCTTCTTGGAGGTGCCAAAGGTACAATAAACATGACTGGAGCACTCCATGGGAATTCATTAGTGGGGAGGAAGTGGGAAGAGAGAGGAAAGAGGAGTACAGTCTAAGTGGGACATACTGCTCTGATTGTGTGTATGATCAGGAACAGCTATGAGAAAGTGCACTCAGCCTGAAACATGGACAGAATTTGAAGTTACACAAAAGGTAAGATGCAAGGATTTCTTAGGGTGATACCTTTTATTGGACCAACTATGTAGTTGAGATAATCAGACAACTATGTAGTTGAGATAGTTGATGCAAGCCATTCTTCATCAGGTCTCAAACAAAGCGTCTTGCATTTGGAAACGTGCCCAGCCTTATCACAGCAACATCGGTGGTCCAATAAAAGACATCACCCTAAGAAATCCTTGCCTCTTGCATTATTTCTGGCCCATCATGATGACGATGTCAGTCTGTCACTACCCTAAAGGGTAAGATCAGACTTACAAAGGGGTGCATTTCAGGTCTTCTGATGCTTTCAAGGATCTGTAATTCTTGAATTCTTTAACTGTAAAGTTTCTTCAATTAAGACATTCTTTGAGTTTGAAATGGCAACTTTGGGATTCCTTAGGATAATGACTACCTGCCTAACATACCCCTTCTAGTCCTACATTCCTATATTTACAAAGCCTGTTCCTTTGCTTTCCTGCCACATTTTCTCCAAAGCAATTAAACAAATTCAGAGAGGCCAGAACCTGATACTCTGGAAAAGCATGTGTAAGTGGCTAGACAGAAGGAAGGCAGGAGGGATTGGGAGTCTCATGTACTGATACTGGAGTCTAGGTTGCTGGATGATGGTGCTTTACATCCCAAACAAAGATCTCAAATAAGAATGCTGAGCATTCCCTGTTTTTAGGCTCTCTCATTCTTGCTTGCACCACTCAGCTTGGCAGTGTGGGGTGAGGCAGGGTGGCATTTAAAGCCTGGGGGCCAGAAACAAGGGTGAGAACAGATTCCCTGGCCCTGTTTCCCAGCCCCATAGGTTTTGAGGTGCCTGCCTGCGGCACCCAGCTGGATAGTGGAGGTGGCATGGGGAAGACAGCAGGGACCAGGACTTGGTCTTGGGGACAGCCTTTCTGAGTCCAATTCCCAGTCTCCATTTTTTTGAAGCCCCAGCCCTACCACCCAACTGGGTGGCAGGGGCAAAAAGAGGCTGTAACATGTCACTTGGGGAAGCCACTTCCTCTGGTCTGGCATGTTAAGAGCCAGCACACACAGCTCCTGGGAGAGGCACAGAGGAACAGCACTGCAGGGCAACCCCTAACCCTATCCAGTTTGGGGAAGAGGCAAGAAGCAGAGGTTGCTGGTCCCCTCTTCTGTACCAGACTGGGAAAAGAGAGTACACGTAAGCATTCATTCTTGAGAGGGAAATTCACTCAAAAGGGAGATATTTAGGTTGATCTTCTCCTAGAAGGAGCCTATTTCCCCTAGCAGAAATTCAATGAATGCTTCTACACTTGTCATTTCTACCTGGAAATCATTGATTCTCTGGTCAGAAATGAAATGCCCATAAATACCCAGTAAATGACATGTCACGACTATGTATGATGCCAGCAATGCCTTGAAGGTCACCAGTGTTTTAAGCTCACTCTCTTTACTATTGTCTTTATTTCCCATCTCTACTTCCATACAGCAGCATCAAACCCCTCCCCTCTCCAACACTTCTGAATGCCATTTCTTCCTGCTTCCCACAAGAACCTGGATGTGTAGCTCATTTTCTTTTCAAAAACACTTTGAGCTATTTACCTTTCTTCTTATGTACTTGGGGTTACTGTTCCTTAAAATGATGTAAAACAAATTAAATTAAATTAAATAACCATTTTATTTATTTTTATTCCCCACATTTCTGTTAGACTAGATCCAAACATGTACAATATGGATGTAGTTTGTCTGCATGTCCCCTTGAGCAGTCCAGCTTATGACAAAACTAATAAGTTATAGAAACCCTTTCGGATACTCAGTCTCCATATTGATTTAGGTCATGAACATTATGTTGGAGCCCTTACTGACAGCAAACTCCTTTTTGAACATCATTTTCATTTTTGCTTGCCCCAAAGGATAGGGGGTGCCATATCTAAACTGGAGTGAATGTGAAACAATTGAGTCAGTTCTGAGCCCAACCAGAACCACAATCTGATTCCTAATTGTGCAAAATGCTGGTAGAATCTGGAGGCCTTCAGAAAAGCTGTTTGTTTTTTCCCCAGGATGTTGCATCTCAGGAACCTCTCACTTGTATGACCCCAGATTTTGAACTCTGGTGCCCTATACTCCAAGGTATGCATGGCAATCCAAAGCAGGACATGGATTTCAGAATACCTTGAAGAGTTGAGCATTAAAGAAAAATGTATTTTCAATATTAATTGCAGCAGAAGTGTTTATCTGCTATAAGGATGCCATGTGCATAACATGTAGAGTGCCATTTATAAATTGTAACATGATTCTCTAACCTAACCCTGTAGTAGAGTAATTTTGACTTAAAACATTGATTATTATTATTATTTTTTTTAGAGGATGATAAAAAGAGACTACAATAAAAACTGATATGTGGTAGTGGTCAAATTCTGCCTTTAGGTAAGCCACAGGCAGACAGGTTTTACAGAGCTGCAATTTAAGGATAAAATCCTGGCCAAGTGAAGTTAGTGACAAAACTCCCATTAACTTAATAGGCCATGATATCAATTTAACTACATCTAGCACATTATGGATGGAATTACAGCAGTTTATGGGATTAAAAGAAACTCTTCCTCTCTCCTCCATATACATGTATATATAAATCTTTTGTAGTAAACTTTATTTACATGATACACCAACATTTTCACAAGCTTAATATACTTATTACTAGGCAGGGACATTATGTAGCTTTTGGTTTTGAATGAAAATGAACATTTAGATGTACACAAACTTACTCCTTCTACTCTGTATGAAATTACTACTAAAACTGTGCTACATAAACAGATACGGTCGGATTTTATACTTACTCTTGTGTTGTTTCTTTCAGCTTTCAGTTCTGAAATCTCCTCTTCTTTTTCAAGCAACTGCTCCCTACACACATTTAACTCTTTTGTCAGTGCAGCAAATTCCTACAAAATGGAAACAAATATAAAGTTTACTGAGATTGTATTACCAAAAACAATACGTATTGTAGAGTTTTAGGATTCAATGATCAAATCAGTCCACAAGGATAGCAATATAAGTTATACTAGAAGGATGATAATGCATATGTGATGCATTATATGTAAATAGAGGATGCTAATTAATTACAGGCTTACAATCATTTTTGGAGTTTAGATAGTTTAAACCAGCAGAGGCTATGACCCAGTGTCTAAAAAAATACTTCTGATGACATCAAATTATCTTGCTTAAAGAATAACAGACACATTCATAACATCATAATAAACAATAATTTGTTTTTATAGCACTTTTCATTCAGTTCTCTCAGGGATGTCAAACATACAGACCAGATTGAGCCCATGAAACTGGGCCATCTGGTCCACAGCTGGGGTGCTGGACCACCAATAGTACTGCAGGAAGACACTTGGCAATACGGCTTGTTCCCATTGTGGCATGCAAGTGCCCTGGTGAGAATCACAGTGATGGATCCCCAGCATCACGATGAAAGGAGCCCTGGACCCTGGCTTGCCTCTAGGGCAGCAGACAAGAATCCAGGTGAGAGCTGCAGCAATGGAATCCCAGCAGCACTGTGGAAAGAAGCCTGATACTTTGCCTTGCTCCTGCAGCAGCAGCCAAGTGCTCGGGGTGTCTGGCCTGTTCCTGCTGGGTCCCAAACTAGAAGCAGGGAGGGGTTTGTGGGTCTGGTCCCACATGATTCATGAGACCTGCAGACCAATCCTGCAGGGCCAGATGAACGTCAGATGAGTTTGACACCCCTGAATTATCTCAAATGGTTCTGACAACATTAGCAATTTAAAACTCTGAATCAGGAAAGGATCTATATTTGAGACAGGATAGAACCACACACTTGCTTACCCTATATAAGCATATGCTAATTGCTTATAATATCTCACCATATATATCTTGCCTTGAGTAAGGATGCTTATATATAAAATATATGTATTTCAACCTATATACTTAATAATAATAATAATAATAAGGCATAATACATAGTATGCAGAAGTACTTCTGTATATCTAATAGAATAATACTTGACTAAAAAGAGACTGCAAGTCTCCTCCATGTAATATAAGGTGTTGAAATTATTTGGTCTTAATCAGGAGTTTTAAATTAAGGATGTGCTTAATGTTATCATAAAGGTGGATGAATTTAAATATATGCTTAAGTGTTCTCCAGAATCAGCATGGGCTCTACATTAGCTGTTAGCACATAGAAAAGATATCTTGGAGTCATTGTGGACAGACAGTTCACTAAGAAACATTAGTTCAGTAATCAGCAGCCATCAAAAAGGCAGACAAAATGTTAGAGATTATTAAAAACGGAATTGTAAACAACACCGAAAGTATCATTATGCCCTTTTATAAATCCTTGGTGCATTCACACCGTGAACAGAACACTATGCCCAGTTCTGATCCTCACACCTCAGAAAGGATATAGGAGAACTAGAGAAAGTACAGAGAAAGGCAACAAGGATGATTAGTGGTATGCGGGGGTTTCCATATGAAGAGAGACTAAAGAGGCTAAGCCTATTCAGTTTAGAAAAAAGACACTTGAGTGGGGATGTCGTAGGGATTTACAAAATACTAAATGGCAGAGAGAAAGTAAATAGAGATTTATTATTTACTCTCTCTCACAATACAATAACTAGGGGTTACAAAATGAAACTCTCACTTTCGTATGGTGTCATATATCAACTTCCAAATCTATGAGCCACGGTCTGGGCATTTGCAAAGATTGCAGCTTTCGATTAAGCATTGTGCTGTTTGTTGGACACCACATTCATAAAGGGGGCCGTCCAAGATTGACTTTTGACAAAATGAAACTAGTAGGTAGTAAGTTTAAAATTAACAATAGGAAGTTCTTTTCGCGTAGTGTGTAATTAAAGTGTGGAACCCACTGCCATAAGATGTTGCAGAAGCTGCAGTTTAGCCAGATTCAAAAGGGTTTGGACAAATTTTTGGTGGCAAGGTCTATCAGTAGCTATTAAGCATGGGAGTTAGGGTTACAACCTCTGAATCAGAACTTCCCTAGATCTTAAATGCTGGAGGCTGCAAGTGAGAGAAGAACAGTGGAAAAAACCTTGGTCATGAACCCAGTTCATTTTCCCTTTCAGCATCCACTGTCTGTCACTGTGCAACACAGGATACTAAGCAAGACAGACCTATGGTCTGATCCATTAAATGGAAGTTCTTATGTCCATAAAGACAGGTGAACCATTATAGGCAGGCACGCCACAAGATAAGCCTCATACACTCCCTGACTGCTACTCCAGTGTCATTCCCCTGCTCCCTTGCTCTGCTTCCCTTTGCTACCTGATCTGTTGTTTGGCTTTCTGTTCCTTGCCTGTGTATTCCCTGCATCTTCCCCCAGCTTCCACAAGCTACAAACAGAGGCTGCCTGTTCCACTTGGTAGGTCTTAATAGATCTAAACAGTGAAATTTTTGTCACAGGTATTTTTCACTGAAATCCTTGCCTAATGGTGAAAAATGTGGTTAGAGTACTGATAGATATTTAAAATTCCAAGTTTAAAAGTTAAACTGATCATATCTTTTTGCATATACTGGCCCTTATTACAGCCTTGTCTGAATATAAACAGATGAGGGCTGTTCTTGACCAATAAACAAAGTCAGTTTCAAATACAAAGCATCTCTACAGAAAACATGCTACTAGTAGGTTTCTCTCTGTAGAACAGAGGGATGCAACTCGTGCTTTTGCTTACAGAAACAATAGGAATATGGCATGAATGAAAAACAGAATCCAAACTATTAAGGAGTTATGGATCAACATCTACATCCAGGCTAGGGACAGACATTCAAAAAGCCTGAGCATGGATTGATTCGATCTTTACAGGTGCATCTAACCTGGCTAGGCTGCACTGATTTGCAACTGTACGGACATTCCCTCTGGACTGAGAAAATGCAGGCATATGCCTGCAGTGGCTCAAGCTAGAAGCCCGGGGGCACTAGAGCAACCATCCCTTCCCTTCCACAATGCTGAGCTGAGGGTCCGGATGCTCTGATTAGGGAGGGGTCCCCCACCCTCACTGCTCCGGACCAGCCCAACAGGGAGTTGATAACACAGCATTTAGCACTCATCAAGAAAACAAAAGCCTCTCTCATTAGTTCAAGCTCTTCTTAAACAACTTTTTCCAAGGAAGGAATGCAGAACATTACCAGCTGATCTGATGATTAGTTCCAAAAAGCCCTAAGCAGACACTGTCCTGTCTGCCTTACACAGATACCTCTCAGCATTAGCTAGCATACCACATGCTGGCTACCAATTGTGCTATGTTGGTTGGGGGAGGGGAGTCCCTGCCTGAGCAGGGAGTGGTTGTGGGGGCATGGGGAAGCCAGGCATATAATGCCATGCCTGCCATCTCTGCTGGAGCCCCGTCCAGGGTTGAAAAGCATCTGGGATGCTGGGGGACTCTGGTTTAAGTTAACCAGGAAGGGGTCTGGGAGAGACATTGCATAAACTGGTTTGATCCAGATCAGTTAAGTCTGATCCTACATTCAAGCAGGTTTATCTCAAAATGGTTTCAGCCCATTTCACACTGATTTATGTGCCCTGAATATCTGTTCTGTTACAGGTTTAAAACAGTTTCTGATCACTCAAACTGGTTTATGTGCAATGTCTGTCCCTATTCCCAGTGACATACTGTCACATATCTTACTACTTCGTGCAATAATAAAGTTTTAATGTTTCTGTTTGACATGAGGTTTGAATGAAATATTAACATATGTCAAAAGTATATTAATTATTCTAATGATGTCAGAACACTATTAATATTAGGTACTTTGGGGTGAACTACTGAAGCCAAGGCTGATGGCAAAGCAGGATATTAACTATATCATATGTCATGTTCTGATACGTTACATATAACCTTACATATGAGTACCAAATGCATTTTTTGGAACATTTGCAAATTACAGTATTCTAACAGTGGATCCTCTGGCTGTTAAAATTCCCTTTGAAGTTTCTTGAACGTATTTTTAATCTGTTGTTCTAAGTATCTGCAGAACCTATGAGTGAAATACTTACTGAGTCAATTGGAATTTTACCATTTATTTCAATGGGACCAGGATTTTACCGTATGCATGTACCGTATACTACGCAGAGTATTTTTGTATATCTCAGAGTGGTACTTTACAGAAAAGAATTCCATTCATGTATACTAGGCCAATGCCACTGAAATGTGATTCTCTAACAAAAAATATCTCTTTGGGAATAACACTGCTACTCCAAATGAATGCATTCTTTATAAAAACAAAAAACAAAAACTTTTTAAATGGAAATTTTAACAGTCAGAACTTATTGAAAAGTCCTAGAACTGGCGGAAGTCATTTTTAATTACTCAAAAAAGAAAGCAATAGTTGGTAGAAAAAACCCATATCCATCTCTTCTACCTTATATACACCCAGGATTCAGCTGAAACCAAATCAAATTATTTAAGGCAAAACGTGGTGGTAAATAGGCTCCCAGGGCATTTGCTCTGGTGTGTCCCCCTTGAGTTCTTGACAGTGGCTTTAAACAAACTACAATGACTTCAAGTCTTAGCATAACAAATGCCAAGTGTCAAACCAAAGCAGGAAGGAGGCTGGAAGTATTTCATGCTTTAATCAAAACTTCTAAAGCAGTTTAGGTTACATTTCCTTGTTTCCAGAAAGGGGAAAAAAGGCAATACTTAGATTTCAAAAGTCTGTAAGCCATTGTTAACATTCATTTTCAGGCTTTCAACTCTCAGTGTGTATGCTATTGGGTTTAAGGAAAGAAAATGTCCCAACATTCTCAACATATTTCAGTTGAGAATAATATCTTAGATTGCATTCATTACTTAAACAATGTGCTGTGCAATATTTCTTTGCTATTCTTTCCAGCTTTTGTCCAGGTACTTAAATGCCATAAGAATTAGCTAAGACACTTTTGAAAGAGAGATGTAAATCCAAGA